CAGGTCTGTGACAGTCACACAGGCAGAGCAGGGTGTCAGCAGAGTGAACACAGGGCTGTGACAGTCACACAGGCAGGGCAGGGTGTCAGCAGAGTGAACACAGGGCTGTGACAGTCACACAGGGCAGAGCAGGGTGTCAGCAGAGTGAACACAGGGCTGTGACAGTCACACAGGGCAGAGCAGGGTGTCAGCAGGGCTGTGACAGTCACACAGGGCAGAGCAGGGTGAGCATAGGGCTGTGACAGTCACACAGGCAGAGCAGGGTGAGCACAGGGTTGTGACAGTCACACAGGGCAGAACAAGGAGAGCACAGCCACCCTCCTGCAGAGCACAGCTCTCACCTGGTGGGTTTCAGGAGCTTCCTTTTCTCCTCTGGTCACGGTGTTGAAATGTTCATGGGGATAAAACACATAGGAAAGAAATGAGCAGATCTGTTTAGTGAAGGTCATGAGAAGCTGCAGCAGCAGCATCTGAAATTGACGGAGTTTAACAAGGGGTGAGGCTGCCTCAGCAAGCATTTGCTGCCTTCTTCACATTGATGATGTTTATCAGCCTCTGCCCTCCAAACCTGGCTGCTGACACTTTCAGCTGGACAAACTGCCAAGGACTCAAGCAACTCAGCAGATGAAACAAATGAATGGAGGCACTCACACTGTTAAACCCTTCTGATCACCCCCGCCTCCCCTGGGACCGTCACCACCCTGCCTGAGAGCCCCTGGCCAAAGCTGGGGTGGGCTGCAGGAAGCATTTCTGTACCTCTGTCACTGAGCCTCTTGGCAAGGAGGGCAATGAGTCCCCCAGAGAGCACAACACCAGCTAGTGCCAGGGCTGAGCCGCTGCTGTAAGCCAGGACTTGCTTTAGGAAGGCACCATCCTCTGAAACAAAGCCCCAGAGCCACACATTGGGAAATTGTCAGCACTCCACAGCCCCTGGGGAGTCCCACCACATTCGGGAGGTGCTTGGAGGAGAGCTGAAGCTCTGCAGTGCTGGAGGAGCTGGGGGTCCTGCTGTACCTGCACACACAGGGGCAGCCCTGTTCCAGTTGCCCGTGGCCTGGCAGTGGAGCAGCTCTGCTCCCATCCGAACAAAGCCCTCCTCGCAGGAAAAGGCACACGTGGAGTTGTAGGAGAAGTTCCCGTACACGTGAGAGCAGCTCAGCTGGCCTCTGCTGGGGGGGGACAGCTCTGGGCAGCTGATGGCTGGGGACAAAGCACAGTAGGAGCATCAACAGGACACTGGGATGGGGACATGTGGGCTGCAGGCCAGGGATAAACTGACATAGCCCAGGGTGCTGGGGAGAGCACTCTGCTACAACAGAGTCCTCCCAGACACGTGTGAGATCACAGGATTTACCTTTGCAGTGTGTGGGGTCCCCTGTCCATGTCCCCGTGGCTGTGCACTCACGGCTCTCTGGCCCCATCAGGACAAACCCTGTCTGGCAGGAGAAGGCACACGTGGAGCCAAAGGTGAAGTCCCCATGGAGGTGGGAGCAGGCAGCCTGGCCCATCTTGGGGGTGGTCAGTGCTGAGCATTTGATAGCTGCAAGGTAAAGAGGCACAGCTCAGAAAGGAGCCTGGGAGACTGCACTGTTGGGACCAAGGGGCTGGGGACACGTCACGGTGTCACCCCAAGGCCAGTGACACCCTGAGCTGTGGCAGCAGCAATACCTTCACAGCGAGGGGCATCCCCTGTCCATGTCCCCGTGGCCGTGCACTTGAGACTGTCTGA